ATGAAACCAACAACAAACAACGTGGGACATCTTGTGGAACAGCATGGCGACGTGACCGCACACACCTCGGTGGTTCACTACGCGCTAACGTCCACCGCCCCCCCCGCGTAAAGCACATGGAGAGTGCTCATGTGCTGTGCCTTCGCGATGCATGTAATATTATTCCAGCTCGTGAAGGTGTGTTGACCGGCAGGGGTTGCTTCCAGCAGTGCTCGTCTGGCCATGGTTGTGGAGATGTGTGTACAGTAAAGCTCGATTGTCCCATTGCTGCCTACGCCGATATACAGCAGTATTGCAGTATTGGAATAACGCCGGAATGTACGATTACACCCTTGGGGACATGAAGATTTGAGGATCCATGTCTCAAAGGAGATGAAGTGTAGCCATTCATGCCCCCCCCACCCCCCTCCCCCCTGCTGCTCCCATCAACCAACACCAACCCTTCCATGCACAGGGTTCCTGTACAAGATTGCATTAGACCCAATCCCCGGGTTTGCAAGCAAGCACAATGGCGGTCGAGGCTGCCCCAGCGACGGAAAATGCCACCGGGGAAGTTGCAAGACATCCCCTGCAACATAGGTGTGTAAATGCATATGTGTGTGTTACCCCTGTCTTTTGTACGGCAGTATCGTGAGACTGCTGTCGACCACTTCAATCGATTTGACCGATGGATTTTTTTTCCCGTCACCCACTTGCACCAAGAAATATGCATCTCCACGTCCATGATTTGTTGTCTAGCTGTATGCTCTCCGACTGAATCGAGAGCGCGTGCGCGCGGCCTCCCCACGGTCCCGTGGTCGTGTTGTTGTTGTTGCTGTCATTGTAGCTGTGGTTGTTGCTATAGTTGACGTCTCTCAGATCCACTCATTCGTCGAAAGTCTAGACGTGCGCCAGAGAGGTCTGGGTTCCAATCTTCCGAGCTTCCTGAACCCGCTCATTCACCAACGATCCCATGCTTTTGTCTTCCACCCCACGTCAAGCATCGCGAGACACCCCTTCGAATAAATGCCGCAGCTATGTTACCCCCCGACCTCTCGCCACCACCGTGTCGAACATTGCTACAAGTCGTGGCTCCGATATACCGTGGGGTAGTGACAGGCAAAAATCACCGCGTGGTATCTCACCCGCATTTCTGGGGAAAGGTCACTGAATATTGTATGTAATTTAGTTTTGGGCTGGGCTCTTGTGCCAAGGGATGTTGCAGCGATAAACGGCACTACCACCACAGTGGAAACTGCCATGTCTGGTGCTTCCGGTGCGGCTCTGGTGGTGCTGGTGGTGGTGCTGCTGCTCACGCGGGTTGCGGGTCCTACAGCGTTTTCTTGGTGCTCTAATGTTGCACGAAATCGGTCCTCACCACGTATGGCCGCGTATTTTTCTTTGCGTTATGCTTGAACTATGTCTGCTTGCTGATCGGGCCGTTGCTGCTGCTGATGCAGAAGGGACCCGCGGTACAAGCAACCTTTCGTTAAGAAGCAGAGGCTCACACTTTTCGCCAAAAACAGATCCAAGAAACATGGCTTAGCGGTGGATCCTACACAAACCCTCTACAACCTGTGCTCGACAGTGGCGACGAAAGATACTCGACCCGATTTTGACGTTTCTTTTCTTTTCTCCGGGCCCGTCCTGTGTACCTCTATTTACTAGTGCGGCCCATTCTGTACGCCTCTATTTACTACTGTGGCCCGTTCTGTGTGCTTCTATTTTCTACTGCGACCCATTCTGTACGCCTCTATTTTCTACTGCGGCCCATTCTGTACCCTTCCATTTTCTACTGCGGCCCTTTCTGTACGCCTCTATTTACTACAACGACCCGCTCTGTGTGCTTTTATCTACTGCGGCACGTTCTCTACCCCTCTATGTTCTACTTCGGTCCATTCTGTACGCCTTCATTTGCTAAATTACTGCGGCCCAATCTGTGTGCGTCCATTTGCTACTGCGCCCCGTTCTGTATACCTCTTACAGTATTTACTACTTCGTCCCGTTCTGTGCGCCTCTAGTTACTACTGCAGCCCGTTGTGTGTGCTTTGATTTACTACTGTAGCCCGTTCTGTATGCCTCTCTTTACTACTTCGGCCCGTTCTGTACGCCTCCAATACACTACTGCGGCCCTTTCTGTATGCCTCTACTACTGCTTCCTGTGCTGCCGTTTGATCAACAGGTGGGCGCTGTGGTACGACAACGCCAAGCTGAAGGCAGCAACGGAGACGTGGGCGGACAACCTCAAGCACATCCTGGCGTTCGAGACCGTTCAAGAGTTCTGGGCACTCTTCAACAACGTCATGCCGCCCAGCATGCTATCGGTACGTGTGTGTTTGTGTGAGTCGCGGTGTACATGTGTAGGTTCGTTTCGCGATGCCGTTCCGTCCTTCCGTCGTGTGTTGCAGTTATGTTGCCACCTGCTTCACGTACAGTCGTGGCCCCAATGTAATAAGAGGGTGGTGTGACAAAGGACCCTTTTACATATCGGAGCCCCCTCTATGCCGGAATAAGAGAGTATACAACTTTCCTCTATCGGGTCGAGTCCTTGACTACCGATTTCGACCCTCGCATATCGGATCCCCCTCTTATACGACACCCTCTTTTTTCGGAGCCCGACTCTACGCGGATGGATCCTCGCATGTTTTATTTCCCCACGGTTCGGGGCGGCTGCGGTTCTTTCGCAAAATGCAGTGAACATTTGTTTTTTTATGACGCGTTTTTATTTTTTTTTCCGTTGGAAGTTCGTTGTCGGCCGTGTGGAGGCCTTTCTGACCTTCTGAGCTGTTCCGATGTTTGACCCCGTACGCTTCGGGGGACTGTAGTTTTTTTTCCGATGATATTACGCCGTTTTTTCATTCTGGTCGGCCGACTAGATAGCGCTGTCGGCGGTACAGCAGTAGAGGCGAAGCCACACGCACAACACCCGCTGGTGCCTTCTTCCAGATCTTGCAGCGCGTGTCAATGTCGTGTTTTTGTTTGTGTTGTGCTTTTTTGTGCGTGCTTTTGCGGCCCCGCAGGTGCAGAGCAACTACAGCGTGTTCAAGGAGGGTGTCAAGCCGATGTGGGAGGACACGGCAAATCGGCAGGTGCGGCGTTTGGAGCAAGTCTAGCCTACGTGGTTTGTTTCGCCAGCCTTCTCTGTCTTGTCTGTCTGTCTGTCTGTCTGTCGGTCTCTCTCCCATCTGTTATCGCCGTCCTAGCAGGGTCGGGGTGATGCAAGGCTTGTTTTGCTACTCCGGGCGTACCTCGATTAGAGAAGGAAAAACAAGAACACAAATATCATACGACGACAAAACGTTAGGTAGTGGAAAGCGATCTAGGTCTCGAGGAAACACGATTCGGCTTCAAGGTCGATGGCTGAACCCTTCTCGCGATAAAAAATACGGCAAGCACCGCAAGGGGAACGGTGGGGCACGAAAACAAACAAAAAAAATAAAAACAAAGCCCCGGTGTGACCTTCTTCTCGTGTGACTCCGGCTGATGCGGCTGATACGTCAGATATTCTCACCGAAAGGCCTTTAGACTGGCGCCAGAGTAGATGGGACGACCACACACACACACACACACACACACACACACACGCTGACGTATTTTCCTCTGGTCAGCCAGTTTGTACGGCCGATGATAATAATAAAAACACACACACCCTTTGGACTGCTGCTTTTGGATTGTTTCTGTTTCTTCGCAGGGGGGGAAGTTCGTGCTTACCGTGAAGGGGGAAGACCTGCCGCAGTTGGACCAGTGGTGGCTGCACGCGGTGCTGTCCGCTATCGGGGAGACGTTAGAGGTGAGAGACGACGACGATGGCGCAGAGAGGGCTGAGCCCCCACACGCACTGTGAGCCGAAAGGACATCCCCGCCCGCACAGCAGTGTTCCCAAGACCTGTTGGCTTTTCGTTTCGCACCGGCAGCAGTGTTCCCACCAGGCGTGCTTGCTGGTTTTGGTCTCTACCCAGTCACCCGGTGTTCCCAAGAGGAAGTGTTCTTGCTATTTAGCTTTGTTCCCCACCCAGTCACCCAGTGTTCCCACAAGGTGTGCTTGCTATTATAGCTTTGTTCGAAGTTGCACATACGATCGTACGTACTCCGACTACGATTGGCGATGGACGGAGGGTAAGCGGATCGCGGTGGTTGCTGCTGGTGGGATCTTCGTATAAGGCCTTTAGATTTCGCGTACATAGGACGCCTTTCGGTTTCGACCAACCCCGCTCTACCCCGGGTAGAGGCACGGCTCTTCTCCCGGGGTAGATAAAATGTGGATGGGGGACGGGGCATAACAATAGCGCAGTAAGCAGTTTGTTTTTCCCTTTTTTTTTTTTTTTCTTGCAGTAGCTGTTTCAGGTTAGTTTTGCTTCGCTGGCGAGAGGCATACGGTTGGGTGAGATTGGCTATTGGTATACAGGCGGGTGCCCTCTGCTGTGCGGGTTGTATGAGGCGGGTGCCCGGTATTGTCCGGGTGAAACTGGCTGGCACAGATGGAATAGCCCAAGATGGTTTCTACATTAAATAGTGTGGGTGCCCGCAATATTGCGGGTGGAAGCGCTTGGCACATACCCGCGCCAACGGGGGCACCCGACCGTATCAAAGAAGGCTTCTCTGCTCTAACCTTGCCCTCGATGGCTGGTGGTCCTTTTTCGTGTCAGAACGTCCCCTCGCAGCCCACATTTTGCCGCCGACAGCATGCGTGCGTTCAGCAGGCTCACTTTCCTCATGGTTGGGGTGCGGTGGTGGAGGGGTGGCGACGAGTTTGCTGCTTCGCTCTCACGCTGAAGAGCCTAGACGGAGGGAGACACATGCGGCCCCAAACAGCAGAGTACGCGATCGTTTCGCACGGTTCGCTTATGTCGTACCATTCCTCGGCTTGGATTTCCGTCCGCGCTCTGTTGTTCTGTGCATGTCTGCCTGTCTGAAATCTCTCTCTCCCGCATCTCTGTCTGCTTCTCTTCTGTTCTCCCTCTGTCTGTCTGTCTGTCTGTCTGTCTGTCTGTCTGTCTGTCTGTCTGTCTGTCTGTCTGTCTGTCTGTCTGTCTGTCTGTCTGTCTGTCGGTCTGTCTGTCTGTCTGTCTATCTTTCTGTCTGTCTGTCTGCGTCTCTCTCTCTCTCTCTCTCTCCCGCCGCCATGGTACCATTCAGTCGGAGACCGATCCGGAGGTGTGCGGCCTGGTGGTCAGCTTGCGCAAGGGGCAGCACCGCATAGCGCTTTGGACCAAAACCTGCGAGGAGTCGAGGGTGGTTCCGGTCGCGAAGAAGCTTAAAGAGGCCCTCAAGGTGTGTGGACGAAGAGAGACAGAGAGAGAGAGAGAGAGAGAGAGAGAGAGAGAGAGAGAGAGAGAGAGAGAGAGAGACAGAGAGAGACAGAGAGAGACAGAGAGAGAGAGAAAGAGAGAGAGACAGACAGAGAGAGACAGAGCAATAGGTTGTGTTTTGGACTAATGTTGACCGTAAGAAGTGTCCAACGGGAGTGATCATGGTGTATATGGGATGGGATATTCTGTTTTGTACGGTAGGTAATAAAGATGATTCAGTTTTTTTTTCTTTTGGGTGTTTCAGTTGCTCCTATTTTTTTTAGCTTTTCGTTCCTGCCAACTTGTCTGCTGCTGCAGCTTTCCTTGCCTGCACGCTGTTGTTGCTGCGCCCCTCCTAGTTGTTCGTGCTGCGCCACCAAAAAATAACTGTACCCACCGTAAGCGTTGATATTTTGGGCACCATACGAGGTCAACGCCAGCCGGTCACCCCCACTCTCCCATCGTATCCCCCACGGCGCCCCCGCGTGTTTCGCCGCAGCTCCCGGCGCGATTGAAGTTCGTGTTCCAGACCCACAGCGACGCCGTGTCTTCCCTGTCCAGTTTCCAGAACGCGTCGTGAGTGTTTTCAGTTTTCAGGCCGCCCCGAGCATGATGGCATAGCGAGGAGTTGGTGTAGCGTGTTGTGTCCCGGTGTCCAGGAAAGGCGTTTTCGCTGTCCGCCCGTCCCCGAAGATTGTACCACGGGATGGCGACGTTGTGACGATTTGCTGTGTAACTGCGGCGTGTTCCTCTTTGGTGTGGCATGTACACATGTGACGACGAAACCATCTCTGTGCCGTGCCACCTTGCATGTGTGGACGTATGTAAAGACAGAGCCCTCCAATTTTCGGGAATACTGGGTCATGTCGTCCGAGGATTGCTTTGTACAGGATGTACTCGCTGTTGGCCGCTTATGCTGGTTTTATTCCGCGCGGAACAACCCGAATACCGCGTGTGCCCTGGTTTTGGTTGGCGTGCTTTTCCGGCAGCGAGGCCAAAAGCGCTGCCTGCGCCGATCCTGGTCGTTGCCATTGCCAATTTTAATCTTGTAGGGCAAACAGAAAACCAAACGCAACAACTATAGCCGAGCTTGTTGGTGTTTGTTTTTTTGTATGTTCGTCACGTCCGAACATGCCTCACGGTCCCCGCGCAAACGCCCGGGTACTAGATGTGTAAGTTTCAGCACGCAGAGTTCGTGTGAATGGCAACTTGACGTAACTCCAGAAGGGTGTTGCACGCCGTGTTTTTTCTCGTCTAAGAACGCCGTGATTCATTGGTGTACCAATGTCAAGCGCCAACCAGACCCCTCCCCCCCCCCACCTCTTCCTCTTATGCTTTCCTATCTCCAGGCGATTCGAGGTTTGAGTAAGGACGGAGACTAGCGTGGCAAGACCTTGCATGTGCTGCCGCTGCGTTTGCTGGCAGTGCGGCACGGGCAAAGCTATTTCATTGGTCGGCGCGAAGCTGCAAGGACAGATGGTCGTGATTGTCGATACTCCCTGGCATCAGAAGCGGGTCGGGTGATAAGGGTCGGACGCGCATTGCTCGCCGTTATCTCGGACACCTGCAGGGGAAAGGCGGGCGGGGCGTCGCGAAGCGCAAACGGTACCGGTCAAAGAGGGCTTCGAAAGCACCTGCATGGAGTGTTTTGGCCGGGTAGAACATTGTGCGAGATAGGAAGAGACAGCCGTTACATTTGTGCGCACGTACTACATGTATCGCGCTTGCGTAGATTTTCTGGGTTCATTTTTTTCTCTCTTGTTGTTTTTATGGTAGTTGGCCTGTGACGACGGGAGGAGTTCGCGTCAGTTGCACCGGTACGCGCGTTAGAAGGTACAGTACTGAGCAGAGACCGGAACGGTTTTTAATGTGACGTCAACAGAATCTGTGGGGGCTCATGTGCCGAATTTCTGTCGACTCGAGGCTGGGAAAAAAACTCGTCCTTCCCGCTGGGTGGATCGATACGAGATGCGAGAGACGCGCCGCACGAAAAAATTTCAGTATGTTTTTGTTTGGGCGGGAGGCTGAGCAGGTTCGCGTGGTCTAGCCCCTCTTCTTGTCATCCAGCTTCATGCGCGTGGTACCGCCGCTACTCGGTCGGTCTCCCTGACGTCCCTCACATATATTCATTTTGCGACGTTTAGCGGGTTGTTCCTTTTCCCCTGTCCATGATCGGTCGCCCCGGTGGTCGGTATCCTTGAAACCTTCTAAAATGGAGGTCAGGTCAGGGGTTCGAATCCCGGCGTAATCGAGCTGTTCTTGCGAAGTGAGTTTTTCTCTCGCTTCCGCTCCTGGCCTAGTGGATAGCGCTAGTTCGTGTGTACACAGAGGAAAGAGAGTGCTGAACTCTTCTCGCATCAAAAATCGAAGGCAACGTACCGCAGGAGGGGAGGGTAGAGAGGGGCCCTTCTGTGTGACCACGGGTTGGAGTAAACGGCACTAATATAGTGCCGTGAGCGCTGATTTGAAGTGAAGACAAAAAAAGAAAAATGATCGAGTCGAAATCTCTGTTCATTGTAAGTAGTTGCGGCGATCAGATCTCTCTGCGTGCGTTCTGTAGAACTTGGTCTACTTCGCTTCCACCACGAAAGCCGTCGGGGCCGTGGGGGGGGCGGGCTGTCACCCTGTTGTAGTCCATGTATGTGCATCACGCCCTTGAGTGAATACCGCGCGGAAGACGAGCGACAGAAACCGGCCGAAAAGCTTTGCGGGACAACTGCGAAGATTGGTGTCGATGTGTCGATGTGGCGTGCGGACACCTCTCGAAGTGAGGGCTGTAATTCTATTGAGCAGGCAGGGGAAAACAAGCCATCTTTTATTGTGCGTCCCATCTGATCCAGCACTTTTATTGTGCGTCCCATCTGATCCAGCAAACAGGGCACAGCGTCGGAGGGCCACGTGAAAAACTCAACTTCGCAGTTTACGGAACCGCGGTGTAAGGCTGCACTCTGTCCTTTTTTTTCGACACAGCCGTGCGTTGCTTGGGTTCCGCTCTCTACAGCAGATTACAAACCGGGGTTGGTTGCGCCCTCGTGAGCCTCCTCTACAGAAAAGCGAAGATTGACCGCGGGGAAATCTACGTTTCGAGAGGTGCGGCAAAAGAAAATCGTCGGCCAATCAGGCTGCTGTTTGCTTCCTGATTTCCGTCACGCGCTTCGTTGTTATCAGCCGGTGCGAGCGGCTGAACGTGTGCGGTGGCCAAGGGGGTAACTTCTGCGTGCCGTTTCCTTTTCCGGCCATCAATTCCTTTCAGGTATCAGGTACGTCGTCGATGTTCTGGAAGATTTACAGTAAGATTCCTTTCTCGCTTGTTCTATTGGGTCGGTGGGGCAATCAATCCACCGCGGCGGCAAGTGGGTTGTTCATCTGCAATGAATGGCACTCTCGTTGCACGGGAGAGTACCTTGAGACAGCACGAGTGCGTGCTGCTGTGTGCACCGACACTCACAGGGAGGGACGATGGCTTGCTCAGGTTCACGCAGGATCTGGCTAAAGGCGCAGCAGGAGTAGTAGCGGCAGGCGGATACGAGGTGATAGCTGGCGGCCTGTCTTCCTTAGAGTTGCTGCGCGGCGTGTGTGCGTATGTGTGAAGCCCGGTCGGATGTTGAACAAGCCCGCGTTCCCGATACGCTCAGCTCAGAGTCAATTATCACCGTGATGGTACCACGTGACGACGCATGCGTGTTTGTCTCCCACATGTCGAAAAATTCTAACACATGGCGCCAACGCAATTAAACTTCCGGCACTTGCTGTACCGTGCGTGTGCAACCGCGCGTGTGTGGTTTCATCTACGAATTTCATGAACCTGTTTCGGAGGATCTTTTCGAAAATTGTGGTGTCCGAAATCCGAAGTCCGAAGGTAGCCACCCTACTGGCAGTTTCGCTAAACCGCCCAAGGGACAGCCGAGGGGCACCCATGGGTGCATGGGGCACCCATGGGCCTCCCATGGGCCTCCCATGGGCTGCCCAGGAGCTGCCGATAGGTGGTCCCATGGGCAGCCCATGAACTGCATACGAAGTGCACACCGTGAGGACTTCAACCTACATTGAACTTCGCCACCGGCATATCAACCTACAGTAGAACTTTGCCACCTGCACATCAACCTACAACTTAGCCACCCAGCGCAAACCTAGCACGTATCGTGTGGGCTTGGGGTTTGGGTTAGGGTTTAGGTTAGGGTTACGTTTTTTAGAAGATACACTGGATCCGGTTGAGGGTTAGGCTTTTTAGCAGATACACTCGCTCCGGTTACTTCACATGGGCGGTTTGAGCAAAACTGTAGAGTGTGGGAGACCCTGATTGAACCTCCTCTTTATGGAATCCAAAATTCACAGTCCAAGTTACGTTCATTCGGCATGCATTGAGTACAGACAAATATCGTGAGAATGCCCCGAAGTTCTTGTGTTCATCCTTCCACGATGTCGACGATGTATTTTCCCGCCGCACACTATCCGTTGTAGCTCACTTAGAATTCTCATCCTTCTTGTTCTTCCAGAGTATGCCGTGATCGCATGATTGTAGCCGATCAGAGGATGCCTTGATGGGCAAGGACGAAATCACATAATCGTAGCTGATGATGCTATTCTGTGCGGAATGCTTCTGCTACTGATCGCCATTTCTGTGTGTTGTTTGCAGTGTTTGGTAGTCGTACCTGCAAGTCCCAATGTTGACTATCGTTCTAATACATTTAAATATGGAGAACAATGAAACACATCCAAGAAGAAGCGGGGACCTAATAGTGTGTAACCGCATATGCTACATTACGGGAAGGACGACACGGCAGGCGTTGCTGCCGAATCCATGTAAGCAGGGGCGGATACGACAGGTACGGAACACGAGCACTGTTTCGTGTCGACTGTATACCGAAGGAGGCCGTGGACGGTTATACGTGGAGCCGTTACAATGATGCCGACTACAGATGGTGAATAAAATAACGCAGGCAACGGCAGTCTTCAGTGGTTAAGACTCCCGTGTTGTATCGCCAAGCACGTCCGCGACTTCCACCAAAGGCGCTCCACCTGAGACTATCAGGGAAGTTCCGCCGTAGGCGAGTTTACATGGAAGAAATTTTCACTTCCACGACGTCCAGATAATTAACACAGACAGGCGCTGCCATGACTTCGACCTAAGGCGTTCCACCTGACATTATTGACAAACACCAACTGTTCCCTCTTTTCATGGGAATTTCCAACATCCAGGTATCACGACTCATTAAAGCTGATCTCGACGTCAGACACAGAGAGAGAGCGACGTGCACACCCTGCACCGTAATAATACAATTACAATGTAAGAGTCTTTGGAGATGACGTCGATATGGAAGCTGGCGGGACGTGGAATACTTGCGTGGAAGCTGACCAGATACGAAATTTCTAAACTTCCCGATGGATACTGCGCCGGCCGAAAATGTCTACATATAATGCGTGGCGTGGATCAAAAACACTTTCATGGAAGCTGACTACAAGAACTTTCATGGTGACAGCGGTGGAAATCAACTTCCACGGAAGCTGGTCTATGATGGCAAGACTTCCATGGAAGCAGGTGCAGACTTTCGACTGCTTCCATGGAAGTCTTGCGGGGGTTACTTCCATGGAAGTTGGATGGACGCAATATACTTGCATGGAAGCTCTTTCGATGACTTCCATGGAAGTGTTCGTCGACGACTTCCATGGAACCGATGTAAACCATTTACAGACTTCCATGGAAGCTACCTCATTCCATTCGAAAGAACTTCCATGGAAGCTATACCCGAGGCTGAATACTTCCATGGAAGCTACTCCACTTCCATGGGACTTCCATGGAGATTCGACTTCCATGGAAGTGTAACATCCATCTTTTTCAATACTGACTTCCATGGAAGTGTCGCGCAGCGCTTCCATGGAAGTAAAAACGTATCACTTTCATGGAAGTAGGGAGTATCTTCCATGGAAGTAGATTCAGCTTCCGTGGAAGTCATTATTCACTTCCATGGAAGCTGAATACATTTGTCAAATAGTGTAGGAGATCGAGTAAACTCCTTGTCTTCCGCACGTACCACGATAATCCATCCCACTAAACGAGTTGACCCGTCCCGAAAAACTATGATGGCTCGCGTTGAAGACCTCTGTGATGCAGTGCACGCGCATGGGATGAGGATGGATCGAAAAACAGGTTGAAAACCTCCGTGATGCAGTGCACGCGCATGGGATGGGGATGGATCGAAAAACAGACAGCGGGCTGAACATTCCGAAACAAACTCTACGATAGACACAAGTTTCCTCGTTTCAACGCTATTAACATTATTCGTGGCCATGGATGGCTACCTGTTGCGCTGTGCAAGTCAGTAGGACTCCATTGGTTGCAACCAAAATCGCTTCTTCGAACAGCTGACGGCCTGCCCGCCCAACTTCTCTTGCTCGTCGATCTAGGTACTGGATGCTACCGTAAGCACGCACGCCAGCGACGTCTACAGTTTCAGTATCGTGGTCTGGGAAGTGTTTTCAAGAGAGTTGCCGGGGGCAAATTTGGCACACCCAAAGGACGTTTACGTTCATGTCGTGCTCAAGGGACTCCGACCTAGGTTCCCCGCTGATGCCCCCGCCGACATGATTAACATGGCGACTGCGTGCTGGGCCGCGGAGCCCAACGCACGCCCCACTTTCACTGCCATCATGGATGGCCTCACGTCGAACAGTTGGGGCGCGTGGATGCCGCAATCATTCCAGAGGGGTGCTCTTTTCTTTAGGTCTCAGACCTCAACCAAGGAGTACTCGGGGGAAACATGTTATATCCAACTAATAGTGAGTGATGCGGCGGAGGAGAGCAAGATATATGTAGAGCGTGAGTCACGATACGCATCGGTAGTTTTACGAAGAAAGAAGGATCAGTCAACGCCCGTATGGTATTCCTAGCTTCACTGCCGGTCCGAGACCGATGCTCCCGTGTTTGTGCTGTGGCAAGAACACTATTAGAGAAAGACGCCACAGGGCAATCAATACGTACGTCATCGCTTCGGTAGGAAAGGAGGGCAAACCGAGGGGCTACATACATACAGTAAATAGGCTTGAGGTGATGATTCGTTTTCGTTTTCGTTTTTTTTTCTGCTTTGCTTTTGGATGTGATATCAATCTGCATTCTGATGTGCTGCGGTTGGGAGTTCATGTTGGAGTTCATGCACGATTCGGGCCTAGTCTAGAGTCAGAGTGTGATGGTTTCCAAACAAACCGCACCGCGAAAAAGATGGAGCTATTATTCGCCACCTTGTCGTCAGGAACATTCTGACGTCAAACCTTTTTTGGGTGTATTGGTTGCTGATCTAACTTTGCGGAGCAGCCATTGTTGATCTTTTGGCATGCAGACGAGGCACTCGTTTGATCGGTCTGTGCTTGGGGGTGGGCGTGTTCCTTGTTCCTCCATTCTCATTTCGTTTCTAGGTCGTGTAGACCAGAGCCGTTAGACGGGCGGTAGACTGGTGAGACCAACTACACAGGAAAGAACGATAGCAGGACAGTAGTGAGCGAATGGGCGAGTCGGCTGCCTGCTGCCTGCCTCCGGCCTCTGGCTGGGCTGGGCCCTTCTCCCAACACCCAACACCAGCTGCCCAACACCCACACCGTATTGTACAACGTGCGAAGTGCGAAGATGTGTGGAAGAGGTTCCGGAAGGTGATTGTAGGTTCCACATTTAGAACCTTTTGGAACCAATTGTTGACCAAGCAACGTCATATTGTTTTAATTTGCGCGCCTACGCGCCTCCTCGCCTGGTTTGGTTCAGAGCAGATAGCACGATAGCACTCAACTCGCCCTCCACGAGGAAGGACGCGCCACCATGACTAAGCGTGGAAGGCGCGTAGCGACTGGCGGCCCTACTGGCCGTCCACCCAAAACGGCCAAGGGGGCCAACGCCGCCGTGGCGAGAAGTGCAAAGGCCGTCCGCAGGCTGGAGGAGGTCGAGAAGAGGGAGGCGGCCTTCGCCGAGGCCGAGGCAACTCTCGCGGCCCGGAAAGAGGAGCTCAACGCAATGGAGGCGGCACTCGCAGAGAGGCTCGCGACGTTGGAAGCGCTTGAGCAGGCGCGCGAGCAGGGTCGTGTCAGCAATGCCGATGCGAGTTCCAAGCTTTCTCCGGTGGCGCTGGAGTTCTTGACGACTCCGTGGAATCGCTGAGGCCCAAGACTGGCGAGCTGACGACCCCGCACCAGTCGCGGATGATCCTCATGCTGTACTTCGACCTCGTGAAAAGAGGAAGCTCTGAGAACAAAGCGAAGGACCAGGTTCGAAATAGAAAGACAACAGCCTATGTATGCACTTATTTTGTCGCCAACAGTTCTACAAGAGTACACATTCCATTCCGAATAGCATTGGTTCAGCTGCGGAAAATAGAATGCGCGGCACACCGATGTTTTGAAAGGAGAGTTTTGACCGCGGCCGATTTTTCTCTCCGCTCGCGAAAGCTACGACCACGAATTCGCGGCGGTGCCTTCACGCGACCTACGCCTCGAGGACCCTGTCAAAAGAATTTCAATCGAAGCGACACGGGTGCCAAACGCATTTTGTCTTGCTCAGCATCCCTGTATTGTCTCTTTTGTATGATGGCTGCCCCTCTGCTCTGCATCTCCGCAGCTGATTTCTCTGAGCCCAACGCCACAACAAGGCCACGACGACGAGGTTCGCGGCCCTCCCTGCGTACACCCTAGCCGTCGCCAGCACGCCGAGCGTTTCGCCTCGCGACGCTCGGAGCGCAGCGAAAAAATACAAATATCCCCCCAAATCAGAGGCGCCGAGGCGCCTCTTGGGCAACCCCGTGCATTGCCACGGCGTTCTCCGCAACCGAGCAAGACGGCCCCATGCTGGCCGCGGCTCGATGCGCTAGGGCAATATAGGCGTGCTGCGCAAGTCTCGGCAAGGACGGTATCGAGGCGAGTGAACAAGGCAGCAAACACCGTTTCGGCTGGTTGGCGGGTCCGTTTGCGCTGCACCGCCCAGCACTCGACATTTTTGCCGCATCGATAGCTCCACATCCTGCTCACGAACGTCCACGAAACTCTGACAGCCAAAGATAACACTGTCCACACAACTCTGTGCCAAGCTTCAACGCATCCGACCTGTAAGCCGCGTGCTACAGCAGTTCGTCATCCCTACGCGGACCTCTCCTGGCACAAAACAATCATACCGCAAAGAATTCGCAATTTCTCAACACATACTCAGCCCCTCGACATACAGCTAACATGTATGTGGTGCTAGAACTACACTGTGTTCGATGCCATGTCTTTGGTGCATCCCCCTGGCCGGATCACGACGTACAAGCAAGGTTTGTGCTCGGGGGAGAGCAGAATACAACGCATAGACCACGGGGGTGTAAATATCCCGTCGCGCACCCCTTCCAGCGGCTGTCGCTGGGTTGCTCCTTGCCCCTTGTGCACAACTCCTCCCGAAAACACTCCAACGGGCCTTTCGGCATCAGTTGTTCGTCAATTGCGACCGTGCCTACTAGCAAATGACACGGATATCGAAGCGGTAGTGGAATATAGTCCCGTTAATGTGACCCCCCTACCGTAGCATGACTCAATTACCAAAGTAAGCAGCTCCCGGTAACGACCATCGAAGGGTCTACGTGCGCATTCCTTGACATTGGCCTCTTCACCCTTGTAGGCGACGAAACGATATGCACCAACCTGCATGACGGCAACTCGATTTTCGGCGTTCCTCAACGTTTTTCGGTCTTTCCACCGCATCTTTCGACCTGTCAGGGCAGCCAGCCTCCCACAAGCTACCACATTGCGATACAGCAGTTCTACCTGCATCTGATTTGTCGGCCGTGCTTTATACAGCTCTAGCTGTGTGCGGGACACACGGCTGTCTTTTGTAAGTGCTTGTGTGTGTCTCAACTGACGACTCTCTCTGTACTCAAGTGCAAGTACTCTAGTCATATTTCAATGCATAGTCCACACACCAGCAAAGCTTTTTTTGTCGCCCTATTATCTTCCAGCTCCGGCGCGGATATGGGAGTTGTATGCAGATCATGCTATATACTTCTATATAATTGCAGGATGGTCGACGTGTCGTGACATATTTCTCACTTGCAGTTTGGGAAAAAAGCAAATATCGTGCCTGGGTTTGTTTTTTTTGGCTACACAGCAGTATGGACCAGACACCGGAGACGGTTCACATTCAGTCACGCGCAACCGCATCATAAAGGTCGACACGCGTCGCAAATGATTGACAGCACGGAACATAGACGCGCAGCACGCGTCAGCCGTACTTGTAGACCTACCGCAAGCCAAGGGTAGCGCATCTTTGGTAGCACGCATGTATCCACACCACACTGTTTTGCGAAGCAGTAGCACATACAGCAACAGATACACGCGTTCAATCACGCACACATAAAGGCCGACACAAGTCGCAACTGATTGACAGCGTAGAGGTGGTCCCGAACTACTGTACTACAGTACAACATGCAGTAAATGGTTGACAGCATCGACCATAGCCGCGCAGCACACGTCGGCCTTTCTCGCAGACCTACTCGACATCTGTCGGGGGCCGATGCTTCACCCTCCTGTGCCCTCTAGCTCTTCGCAAACGTCTTCACGTCTTCATTGCGTTTCCTACACCGTCCCTTCTACTGTAGCTACTTCTAACGTGTCGTCTTCCTTGTTCTTATTCCTAGCTTCCCCCCAAACCCTCACCGTCATCCATCCCGGTGTGGCCGCCCGCCCCATTGGGGGGCGGGGGGCCAATCCTTAACCCTAGTACAGTAGATCCGCTGTACTACTGCTGTATGCATGCATGGTGTTAAGTCTTTGCACGGCAGTATACACTTCTCCAAGGAGAACTTATGTCGCGTCTCCGGCCAGCCTCCATAGGGAAAACGAGGCGGTCACTAGACAAACTCAACTACTGGTAAGCAGCAGCAGTGTGTTGTTGGTATAGTAGTTAGTGCCGTGTTGTAGACACTGACCGACTGACTGCGACTGCTGTTGTACAGAATATTGAAGACTGCTGCAGTAGGGTATGCGAGAAGAAGTAGCCAGTGTGAACGGATCGCTCCGAAACGCACCTTTTCGTCATCCAGACCTCCAGACAGACGCTCCCCAAAGAACAAAAAGTAGTCTGTGTGGAAGAAGAGGACCCCGCGCAAAGAGAAGAAAGAGAAGCGCAATAGCTTCTTGTGCCGTTTGGATTTCATCATTTTTCGGGACGAGCCGCATCAATGCCTCCCAAGAAAAGGCCGCCACATCCAACAGAAAGACCCCAGAACAAAATTGTATCCCTTCTCATCATTATCATGGCGGAACAGATACAACGAGGCAATCCAATCGTTTTTTTCGGCATCATCTCCGGCGCATCCAGTTCCGGAAACGAGTTCGCTTGAGCCCCTTAGGTGTGCGACGACACGTCCACCTTTGTCCACTTCGGCGAATGATCGGCAACAACGTCACTCAGTCGCTTGCCGCCATCCGCGCTGAACGAGTGGAACGTAGGCGTCGCACCAGTGACGCCGCCAAAACGAACATAATATGTATGAAAAAGAAGCGAACAAAAATAACCTGTTGTTCCTCGTGAAGCAAAACGCGGGCGGCCGTGACAGCACGGAGATACTACGGCTGTGTAGACTGTTTCGATCGCAAACGGAACACCATCCTTCGCGCCGCCCAGCCCACCTGCGCCGACAAGCGCAACAACTAGAAGAAGGACAACACGGTCACGCCGATCGTCACCCCTACGAAACCACCCCGCCCGGACCAAAGCGCCAAGCCCACCACAACAACCGCGAAGGCCAACCAGCAGCCGGCCACCACGAACGATCCCGGCCCCGAAGAGGGCCCGCACCGGAAAGTAACGTCCTCATCTTTTTCACACGAAACGTAGATAGCAGCTGCGTTTTTTGCCGGCGATGCCGGGCATTGTTGAAAGTACCCCCGCCCCCCCTCGGCCCCACAGGCCCAACTATATTGTCGTGCAGGAAACGTGTGTGTCTCATGTATGCTACTACCTTTAGATGCATCCATCGTGCAGCGGGCACCTTAGCGTACCGAAAGGTTAGCGCTCATGGAACGCGGCGAGAGTCTCGTACCCCCCCACCCCCCCGTCAGCCCCACAAGCTAGATGTATGTAAGAAACGTGTGTGTCATGTATGCCGCTGCCTTTCTATCGTGCATAGGGCAACGGGTACTCTTGGGTAGCGAGCGTTGTCTTCCAACGGAGGCGGCGGAGCAGATATTTACGCTTGTAAAACGCGCGGGGGTTCGTTGTTTCTGTGCCTTTGCTGTGATGTTTCTTGATGATGCGCCCCAACTCGGGCTTCCGTCGTTGGAGATTGTACTACAGGGACCCTCAACGGAATCACACGTTTCGCAGGAACTGCGACTCCCTAAAACCGAATTTTACAATCTGGTTCTTCTCAGTAGCCCTCTGGGGAAGTTGCGCCCCGGTCCCTCTTTGCAGTCAGCGTCATCTCAAAAGAGAGCACAAGGCAATGTTTCGTCACACCGTCACACACCAAATTCCAATCAGTTCAAAGAACCAAAGGAAAGCGGACCTCGGATTGGAGGCGGCCCTGCAAGAGCAGGTGGCAATTTAAATATATGTAGTCTACTGCTGTAGTCCCATGACAGTGCTCGATGCTCCTGTACACAGCATATCGTGCGCCATGCCTATCTTCTTGTGCGCGAGCTCACGTTGCCCGTACAGCCGTGTCTGCTCAGCAGTGCTATTGTTTAGCAACATACCTTTTTGGCATGTTTTGGCGGTAGCATTATTGTGTACCGGGTACGTGTGTGTGAATGAACCTAAGCATGTGGTACTGTACTACATGTACAAGTACACCATGACATCACTCATGCTCCTCGCCCGTTCTGTACGTGGTGTATGAAAGCTCTGCCGCTTCTTCAACACCTAATTTCGTAAACGAACGCCAACACGGGCTGACCAATCATACTCCCCTGTCTGGATTTGAATGACCCCATCTACATCATTAGGTCGCGAAGACCTTCAGAATCGGCACCGACAAGGTCCTGGCGGTTCGCACTCTCTGGTATGACAAGCAGGAGTTGTACCAGACCACCGGGAAGGGGCGAGGCAAGGCTTCCAGCGCGTCACGACGGGATTGACGGGGCGTCACCAAGAAGAATCAAGGGAATACATTTACACGAACGAGATCCTTCAACAAAGATCACAAGAGAGACCGCCAACCCTTCCGCCGGACGTTGAAGGACTAGTAGTAAGAGGGATCCTACCGCGCCCCATTTTCCACCCGGTTCCCCGTCCCGCCTGTGTTTTAGAAGAAGAATCCCGAGTGGGATAAACGCTGATCCTCTTGATTTTTGTGGCTAAGGCTCGACACAGCCACCCCATGGCAAGGACCGGCGTTCGCCGGTAGAAATGTTCGAGTTTTGGACGGGGAGACCGGTGTATCGACGGCCACCATTTTGTCAAGGGCTGTCGTCCGCGTCAATGTCCATGCAAACGCAATGCAAGTGGTGGGCGCTAGGGCGCTTGTGGTCCACCGTTGATGCCGTGGCTCGCTCGCTGACGATGATACCAAGGGCTTCCGTCGCGGCATTTTGCTTGGCCCGGTTGGCACAAGACGCCCATTCCGCTGCACACTACGCTTTCCTCCCCACGGTTCTCCACCAAGAATCACCGAGCCCGACCTCGGAGAGCAGCAACGCGGGAGAAACAGTACGTCAATACCCTGGATACACGTCCCCGCGCCTAGCGAAACACGACATTTAGGGTCAAGCTCCTGGGGATAAAGCTAGAGCGCCTGCTGGGACGAGTGGACCGTCACCATCTCTTATTCGTAACCCGCCTCCTGTAGAAACCCCCAGGCGGCCGAGGTGGTGTGTAGTAGAGCGTGCAGCATGCTTTAGCTTTGTATTTAGATAGAATGGGGGGGTTGGGAAGTGAATTTGAAGCGAGAGAGACTCGCAAGTTGAACTGTGTAGGAGTGCACCAACAGAGTACGAGGCACCCAGAGGCACGCTGGGACGAGTTGAATTGAATGTCGGCTTGCTGGTGATTGTTGTGTAGAGGCAATGGCGTTGTCGTTAGGTTCGGTGGTTGCGAAGGCCGGCGGTGAAGTGTGTGCGTTTGACGGTGAACTTCTGACGCAGAAACCACACGAGCGTGATTCCAAGGTTACGTTCGTATGCACGGTTCGGAAGAAGTTTCTGGAATGACGTAGCCCAAACAGCTCGAGTTTCAGCACGAGATCCATCCCAACTGCTGGACGCGGACGAGGGCTCCAGTTGTTTGGGCTCTCAGCTCTTGATGCGCATTGTGCCGGCAACGCAACAAAACACACACGATCTACATAGCCGTCCGTGCGGACTATGGCCGTCACTGAATGAACGAGTGATTGCATCGTTGTGTCGTATCTGTCTACACATAACTCGTTGGGGGCAGTTGGCTTGTGACCACGGGAGGTGTCCGCGTCAGTTGGACCCGTGCGGACATTAGAAGGTACTGAGCGGAGGCCGGAACGGTCTCTCATGCAAAAACAACAACAACGGCATGCGTCTGGCCAGAAACGAAGTAGCTACACCTGGGGCGCCCGCGGGTCACAGGGGCGAGGCCGCTTGTCTTGGACACCGTGATCTACTGAATTACCTGGTTAATATCACTTGTTCTAGAAGAAACCTTCGTTGTCCTTTTGTCCCCGCTGGACCCCAGTCTCACCGGCGCCCCATGCGAGCTGTTTCGCCACAATGAGTGGGAAGACCGAACACGAACAAAGCCCCCGACGGATATCGACGCGTGAATAAAATCGATCTCAGATAGCTCTCTCTCTCTCTCTCTCTCTCTCTCTCTCTCTTGAGACGAAACTACGACAATCCGTTGTGCACTATAGTACTCAGCCTACCATTCTCTGGACCGGAAAATGAACCACTTCCCAGGTCTCCCGTTAGGCATCGCAGCGCCCCAACTCTTCCGTCCGTTGTTTGACACGACTCCAACGGAAACTGTGTACGTATTGAACACCTGCTTCGGTCAGCTTGCCACATGGAAAAGCAACAGTTTGCAACCCCTTGTCCCAGTCCGAAAGTCGACAACCCCCCCCTCCCCTTGCCCCCCCGGCGACCCATCTAACCCGTCATGCAACTCATACAACCCCCCCTGCCGACACAACCCACTCGAAGAGCACAGTGTTTGTTCAAGAGCTCGAGGCATTTCATGACACTAGATAGAAGTCGTTGGGCATGATCGTAAGCCTCGTACAGCTCATAATATAAAAATCACTAAATATTGTCGTTATCTTATCTCTTTGCTTCACTAGTTTGGCCGCATTTTCTCTAATACTACGTTACGTTGTTTTTCTTATTCGGGAGTGGTAACTTGAGCCTTCTCTAGGGAACTTTCCTCGCCTGCACTTGGCTTCAACTTGTGCCCTAAGGGCTGCCGCTTCTGCGACGCGACGAGAAGCGTCAAAATCTATTCCTCATTCATCTTAACAGAATCGGAGATACCTGCTCTCCCACAACCGACAATACTCAACAAGCTCGGCCATGAAGCACCTTGGAGGGTCCGATAGTGCTTTTTAGGGAACATCAATACAACCTACAATATTTACGTGGCGATTCCAGCGACGACCCTACCGGACGTCGCAGACCCCTCGGGGCTAACAAGGCTCCCCATGCAGAATCCCCCGACACCGGGTTATGTCTCGACAATGAAACTCTTTTACAGAGTGGTTGCATGCGCGAGGAAATTCTGGCCGACTTCTTCTCTGCTACAAACACGATTCCACCGCGTGCTCGATTCGGATAGACTCGCGCGATCTAACTGCACAAGGGTTTGCACACCAGATTATGTATACTCAAGACACAACCAGAAAGCGGTAGCATGACACGCAACCTATGGGAACAGACAAGAAAAAAGACACGCAGGAAGCAAGGTACAAGGACATGGAAAATCATACTTGATTCGCAAAAAAGGACACCTCAACAACACAGGACACGGACAAGGACCAGGGCCGGTCGGCGGGACGGGCGCCTAAAACATAAAAAATCCGTCTCCGCCTGAAGCACAGAAAAAAAGGACACACCACGTCTCTACATGAGGACACCCATCTCTTTCAGAAGAACGATGCCCCGCAGAATGAAAAACAATAGGGGGGTATTTAAGTTGTAAGGACACCTCTACCTTCAAGGACACGATTTTCGAGGAAATCCCTGGCAGTGTGCTTACGGCAGGGACGACATTAACAGAACTGCGGTATCCCACAGCTTCCCGGCTTCGAAGGTGCGTGAGGTGCCCAACTACTGTAGGCGCTGCCTGAGAACTTAGCACCGTCCTGCAGCCACGAGCACCCCATCTATATCATTGTTGAAAGCACGCCGACGAATATCGTTGGCATTGCTAGTCCCAATCTGGCTTTTGTTCTGCGCTCTTCGTTTCAGGCTTGATAAAGGAAGCGGGGAGGGACTCCTCATTTATGCAAGACGTGAAGACACGACACGACAGGTGTACCGGTACTTCAGGCATTTCGAAAATCCCCGAAAATAAGAAATCACCTCACCCGTCACTATGATACAGCCCGATTTCCGATCGAACCGGTTCTCACGTGTTTCGCGATGCGGTTGAGGGCATCAACGCAAAGTTGGTGGTTTTCCGATCAAACCGGTTCCACGTGTCTCCCCATGCGGTTGAGAGCACCTACGGGGCGTTAGACACCGCACGCGTCGTCATCGCCGCCGCCCGTCGAGCTCAGGACCGGGAACCGCCTCCCATTGCGGTCGTCAACCACTCTGCATAGGAAGACAACGCCGTCGGCATCGGCGTCCGCGGCATCCATGGCGGGCGAGGGTAGCGGGCGGTTCCGCGCCCACGCCTGGGCTTCTTCCTCGTTGCAGGAGCAGCCGCGCCTCAGGATGACCCCGGGCAGGCTTACGTCGACGGTTAGACCTGGATGAGTACACCGTACGTTTTGCGACGCTGCTGTAAGAGAGTGTATGCGCGTTACTTTGGCACGTGCTGCTGATATTCTTGCAAACGACCTTTTTGCCAAAAAGTCCCCGTGCGAAATGAGCGTTTGCGTGGCACTTCGGTATGTGCTGCCGTTCGAGTGCGTGTGAGTTGCAACATTGGGGTAGGTCTTCAAAAGCCTCCTTAATTGAGGGCGTTACGACATTGGGTAACACGGAAGGTTGGATTCTTCAACGGTCATCTCCTCATAAACGTTGGAGCCGTTGCTAGAACACACAGAAAAACAAAAAAAGAACACACAAAACACTGACAAAACGGTTTGAGGGCATGGCCTCCTTCAAAAAACGGTTTTTTCATTATATACCCGACACCTTGCGGGGGGGGGGGGGGGCGTACTCTTATGTTTTGCATGCTTTAGCGGTTAGACCATTGACCACGCGTCCTCGAGAGGACGGAGCATTGTTCCCATAGGACCGATCACCGATGGCCAATCGTTCCTTCCTACTTTGCCAAAGGTGGCTCAAAAATGTCTTCCCTAGTCTGTCTATCCTAACGATATCCCTTCCCGCCTTTTCAAACCACTTCCTACTCCTCAGTACAGCTACCGTCCTCTCCTCTCTATTCCATGCCTCAAACATCTCCCTGTACCTCCCTTCTGTTTTTCCCAGCTCAGTCATGTACACCTCCCTCTCCGTATTGTAGAGCCGACATTCCGCGACTACATGAACACGGTCTTCGCATTCGAAGCCACAATCACATTTGAAATTGTCGTCTTCGTCGTCTACCGTCCTATGCCTTCGTCGACGTTCTCGAAGGCCTATGTCCCTGGTCCTGAACTTGACCTTAAGCTTTGTCCCTGCATCCATTGGTCCATGTAGGTAATCCTTGAATCCTATTCCTTCTTTCAACATTCCGTACACTTCTAGACACGCCTTATCCTTGGTTTCTTTCCATAGATTCTGTTTTTCTCTCTCGGCACAAGCAACAGATATCTTCTCCTTGAACCCCTGTAGACTCTCCGTTTCCAGCGTTTCATCTTCGTCCATGTCTAACCCCTTCCATACGTCCTCTACAACCTTGACCCATTCCGTGGGTTGTCTACCCCTCTTTTTGTTTGCCCACTTCGCCTCCCATACTATTCTCGGCAACCTCTCCTCTCCCATCCCGCACATGCGATACTGCCATGTCAGCTTCCTTGCGTCTCTTCCCGACCGTAGGGATTGGATCCCCAATTCTGCCCTGACGGGGGGGGGGGGTGGGGTGACTCTTATGTTTTGCATGCCTTAGCGGTTGGACCTGGACCATTGACCACGCGTCCTCGAGAGGACTGAGAATTGTTCCCACAGGACCGATCGCCGATGGCCAATCGTTCTTCCTACTTTGCCACACGTAACTCACAAATGTTTTCCCCAGTAGGTCTGTCCTATCGATGTCAGTTCTCGCCTTTTCAACCCACTTCATATGCCCCAGTACCGCCTACCGTCTCCTGGCTATTCCACGCCTCAAACATCTCTCTGCATCTTCCTTCTACTTTTACCAGCTCAGTGATGTACACTTCCCGCTCCTTCTACTGTAGTACAACGGACATTCCGCTACCGGTCACTCGGAGCCGCATTCCCCTTTGCATGCACTTGTCGCCTTCATCGTTCATCGTCTACCTTCCTAAATCTTCGTCGACGTTCTCGAAGGCGAACGTCACCGGTCCTAATTTTAGCTAATTTTCTAAATTTTGACCTTCATGTAGGTACTCCTTGAACCCTACTCCTTCTTTCAACATTCCGTACACATCTTGTAGACCCTCCTTATCCTTGGGGGGAGGGGTGGGGGGCGTGGGAAACACAGAAACACTACGCACGCTGCACAGAGTGTTAAAGGGATGCCCGCCGTTGCAAGACACACGCGAAGCAAGGAGTTGCGCGTCGACTGGGAGAAGCACGACGTGACAGCAGAGTGTATGTAGGGTTCAAGGAAGAGAAGAAGAAGTGCTCACAGAACGCTGTCACAGAAGAGCGTGTCTGGGAATGTGACCAAAAAAGTACCCTCTGCCGACTAGGGGGGGCGGGTAGGACAAACGGCGCGGCGAAGCTTGGGGGGCACGCCTCTCCTCAGAGGAAGACCTGCGAAAGCGTGCCAACTAGCTTTGGTCCAAAATTATCCTGGCGGCGATGGTAGTCATTCATCGCATGCTACAAAGTCCAGCGAAGGTAACCAAACGCGAGGCTTCGGAGTAAGCGACAAGTGGCAACGACACGGGCACCACCAAGTACAGACATCACTTGGTCAGCAACTCCCATCCCTCAAACAGGAGGAGGTTCCTTCCACGCGGCCCAAGAAAAAGCCCGACCTTTGTCTCACCGTCATACTTGCGACTCCGGACGCCGCCGTGACCCGAAGCGACCACCGAACCCGCGCTCCGAGAGATCTCGGCTGCCTTCGTAACGCTCAAGGCCTGCACCTGGACGTACCTGCGGCACCCAAACAAGAAGAATGAGGCAGGCGTTTAGGGAAGCGCGTTGGGGGAGGGAGCATGTTTTGCATGCCTTATGCACGCCCTCGAGAGGACAGAGCATTGTTCCCACAACAAAGAACGAGGGAAGTGTTAAGAGAAGGTTTTGCGTTGCGGGGGGGGGGGGGGAGGGGGGTTGCGGGGGGGCTCTTATGTTATGCATGCCTTTCAGCGGTTGGACCATTGACCACGCGTCCACGAGAGGACGGAGCATTGTTCCCACGAGACTGGTCACCGATGGCAAATTGTTCCTTCCTACTCTGCCAAAGGCGGCTCAAACACGTTTTCCTTCGCCTATCGATATCAACTCCCGCCTTTTCAGGTCATTTCCTAGGCCTCTTAGTGCTTGGAGGAGGGATGTTCTCAGTAGGTGCTCGCGCCTTAGTCATCCGACCATACTGGCGATATTTTTGATGCGGAGCAGTGACAAACGCATCAAAGCACCGGGACCGGGACCAAAAAGCAAAGGTCCCCGGCCGCTACGGCGGGAGGTTTGGCAGCACGGTACAGCGGGGGGTCCCGATCGTTGCACGCCGTTTACATACCGCGCACTCGCCCCCTCTTTGAGGCCACTAAGCCTAAGGATACTGCTCGCCATAAGGATGCCATGTATACCTTCGGACGTATGATGACCCCCCCGCGGGGTACATGTTTACAGACAATTCTCTCGCCTGAAAGGATATTCTCGTTTAAGAACAGCCATGAGCGGACGGGCAGAGGGAGGTAGGTCCATGAGAGATCGGAACAGTTAATATTGTGAAGACAACAACAACAACGACAACAACAACAACAACAACATGAGCGGAAAACCTACTCAAGGGAAGACAACAGATGTACTCACTTTCCAGTGTCGATCGTAGGATTTATCGCCTCGATGGGAGGCGGCCATTGCCCCATCGACGGGAGGCAGTGCAGCTCGATGATCGGGAACGTCGAAAGCGACTGCTGCATAGTCCCCGGTGCCACCTCGATTCCGGTGAGCGTCCTGCGGCACGGAGGAATTACTTGAGAGAGAATCCCGCACCCTATGGCGTCAACGCCCACGCTATCTCCAAACGTGTCTGTTCTGAATTGATTACTCCCAGAAAAGCGGCTGAGCGTGTAGGCTCACATCCCGACCGAGATTTCCGAGAAAAAAAAAGAAATAAATCTTGCCAGAAAGCGTGGATAAAGCGCAAGGGTCAGCCAGTGTTTGCTGCCTCAAGGAACCACTACTGTACGGCTGTGCACATTAACCATGAAAAAATACCGCGGCACAGTAGTGGGCTCGATGTCAACTCCTTCCATACCCCATGCCCCCGCTCAGCTAAATTAGCCCCGGGGGTCACCAGCCATCCACATTACTAGCTCGATACCGGTGATTCGATAGCAGATATGCATACAATGACTATTTGGCACTTTTTGTCAGAAAGTACAGCAGAATGGAGGACGAATCGCACTTATTTGTTACATTGTGCCTCCGATAGCAGCGTCAGACAATTGTACTTGGGGCACTTGCTTGTTAGAATGTACGTGTACACAGCAGAAAAAAACTACTTCACACTTACTTGTTTTGTTGGAATGTACAAAAGATGAAAGAACTACGTCGGGCACTTGTTTGTGATAATGTACCTCGAATCTATTACCCGTCGTCCTCGCTACATGTATCCCGTTGAGGAACTCTCACCCCTGCAAGCAACACCAGACGACAAGGAGGTTATCGTTCCTCCAACGGTGAACCGAATCTTCAAAACGAGGGTATCGCTCCTCCAACGAATCGTCAAAGCGAGGCTATCGTTTCTACAATAGTTAACCGAATCGTCAAAACGAGGCTATCGTTTCTACAATGGTTAACCGAATCGTCAAAACGAGGCTATCGTTTCTTCAATGGTTAACCGAATCGTCAAAACGAGGCTATCGTTTCTAAAATGGTTAACGGAATCGTCAAAACGAGGCTATCGTTTCTCCAATGGTTAACCGAATCGTCAAAACGAGGCTATTGTTTCTCCAATGGTTAACCGAATCGTCAAAACGAGGCTATTGTTTCTCCAATGGTTAACGGAATCGTCGACACGAGGCTATCATTTCTACAATGGTTAACCGTTCAACGGGTAATCTCACCGCCAAAACGAGGCTACCGTTTCTCCAACCGGTAACCGTTTCTCTAATGGTTAACCGAGTCGTCAGAAAGTTCGCGGTGGCGGCGCGGACCAGAGACAAAAACATCCGAATGTTCGTCCTCGTCGATCACTGCCGTCCGACCACAAACACTACAGCTAAAAGGCCGTGGCCGCTTGGGTCAGCGACAAACGTCCGTACATTCCTCACCGTCGACCACTGCCGCCTGAGCACAACAGTTGCAGGTGGTGCCCACGCAAAGCAACTTGGCTGTTGAGACCTTCATGCTCGACATAAGACTAAGAGCTTGAACACCATTTGTGAGCCCGCTCGAGAACTTACACGAAAACCTATAAAGCGGTCACTCCTAGCACACCGGAGGAGCGAAGAACCCGAGTCTCGGACAAAACTAGACGCACGGGCAAGCGCACTATCCTCGCCTCCCCCATCTATAGTGCGAAAATGTGCCACAACTTCTTTCGTTGTGTAGCTTCGAATCAGGAACAGCTTGATTCCCATGAGGGTCAAAAGAGGCTCAAATGTTCACAAAAAAATAGAAAATAGGGTTGAGAAACACAGCTCAGGGGTGGATCCTCGACGCTATAATAACCTCTGCTCGACAGTGGAGATGAAATATTATCTGAGCCTCGACCCGAATTTGACGCTTCTGATCTCCGGGCCCGTTCTGCAGAAGCAACAACGACACTAGCAAACCACCCACAACACCAAAATACGACAACACAGCAAAGAGCAACCACAAACAAAACCTGACTCAGCCAATGAACGTACCATCTGGTCGAAACTAGGCGCACCACCTCGAGCACACATCGCACGAAACTGCTGTGACGATCTACAAGGCCTGTCCCACTTTTTTTTTGTTTACCCCCGCACGCATGCCCACGAAACACAGAGCCAGCGCCAACATATACTCTCGATTTTCACTCACACTGACCCATACCGCAAGCATGCCCACGACACACCGAGCCAGCGCCAACCCAAACCGTAGGCATAAAGTCCACGACACACAGAGCCAGGGCCAACAAACATTCATCGCTCTTCACTCACACGGTCGACGGTATGTGCAGCTCTCGGCAAAGCGGCAGGAGCGAGATGGCCTCCCGTATTGACAGCTCGTGCCTACCCCCGCTGGCCTCATAGATCACGAGCCTCCGTCCCTGCTCGTGCATAAAGAGACGAAAAAAACTAAAAAAAGGGAACCGTGGAAACGCAGGGAGGCCTTCCGCTACGCTATGAATTCATCGCTAATTCATCCTGGACTCTTTGTTCTGTGGAGAAACACAGGTAGCGCGCTGTGGATTCATTGCTAGTTTGTCCTGCACTGTGGATAGAGATGGATGGAGTCGTTGTGTTTATTGCAAGAAGAAAAGGAGGTGTCACATCTATCAGATGATTAATCTACAAGGTCGCTAGAGAACCTTGTGACGGGAAAAAAGAGGCCGCGCTGCTTGCTCGGCCGGCTGGACCCAAAAGAGAGAAACACGTGTCGTCAGACGTGCAGATCCTCCATCTTCGCTGACTGGTGACGGTGGTGGTGAAACGAGAAGGCTCGAAGGTGCCACATGGTTAAACTACCCACGCCTCTTTTACGGCCAGCAGCAACCGGCGATGACAATGACCTGATGAAAACAGTAACAATAGCTGCTACAAACTCCATACACCACCACAGCAGGGTACGACCCCCTCCTAAAAGATGCTGCACGAACAGGAACGCACAAAAGAAGGGACAAAGGCTACACGTCACGAACACCTCTCGACGAGAAAACGCACCACATATCCCATGCGGTCGAGCTGCAAGGCCAATCGCCTACCGATGACCTCGTCCAGCACAAGCAGCGGGCTAATGCCGGCCGTGATGATTTCCTGCCGTGGCCCCAGCTCGAGAGCAATTCTGCTTGCTGCGCGCCGGTATGTTTGTGTGTGGGGGGGTCATGTTTTGCATGCCTTTACGGTTAGGCCATTGACCACTCGTCCTCGAGAGGACGGAGCATTGTTACCTAGGGGGACACAAATCATTTCGGTATCGGCATCGGCTCTTGGGGGGGGTGTACTCACGCTTACGCATGCCGTCGATGTTAGACCACTGACCTCGCATCGACGGGACGGAGCGATACGCCAGGTTCTCGTCGGCCCAGGCTACGTACGTTTCACAAAGATGGACCAGAAGCTGTTCATCATTCTTGCGTTTTGCTGTCCAACACCTGTGGGGTGAATCTTTCGATGGTTGCCTTTGGGTCATCGGCTACTGACCCAAAGCAGCGCTAACTCTCCTAGGGAGGACATCGCCAAACGCCTGGGGTTTCGTTGAGGGATACATATGCCCCACCTTTGAACACGGTCCTGGTATTTGCATGTCTTCAGAGGGAGGTGCTTTTCTCGGACTTACTTACTTATATTCTCGAGGGGGTACCGTTGCCACTTTTTGCGGTGAGGTAGGCTGCTTTCGTTTACATGCCAGCGGCACCCGCACCAGCTGCGCATTCACCAACAGTTTGCAAACAAAACAGCTTCCAAAACACACGCAAACCCAGATCATGGCCTATAGAATCGTTGGCTGTTTCAGCCGCACGGAGACTGACATGTTGTCATTGGTCAGACGGTTAGCGCGGCCAATGCCAATAAAGACAAACATGAGTGCTGCAGCATCCGCGGGCGCAGCAGCTTTTGCGTGCGTAGCGAGAGCGGAAAATGATACTTCTATACCATGGAGGGGTGTCAAGTATTGACGACGTATAGTTACCTTTTAAGTGCGCGGCTTGTTCCTCTGTGAGATGTCCGTTGAGCATCCCTTGCATATGCAGCAGGTCTCGCGCCAAAACCTAATGCAACAGCAGCAACAAGCGGCAGCAACAACCAGCAACAACAACCAGAAACAAGCAGCAGCAGGGCAACAACCAATGGAAACGGTCCAGGAAACTCAGTGTTGCGGGAGAGAGAGATCGAGAGAGAGAGACGAAGCCCAGTTGATATGCGGGCCACAAAGGTATGGGGTCGCCTTGGGAGGCACACACGCGCCCTGAAAACCGGCGTCGTGCGAGACAACCCTCAACCCTAAGCCGTTCGCACCTCTTGCTCCTCCTTCCAGCCACCCGGATGGGGCCGGGAAAAAACAAGTACATTCAATACAGCAGCGGTGGGCCGGCCCAGTTTAGCCCTCCCCCCTTTAAGACCCTGGTCCGGTGAGAAGCCGGCGTGCTCCGTCCCGGTTTTGTAGGGATGCGAGGCCAATGGTCTAACGACTACGGCATGCACGACTATGAGTACACCCCCCCCCCCCTACCCCCTTTAGCCATCTGTGATCGGTCCTGTGGGAACAATGCTTCGTCCTATCGAGGACGCGTGGTCAAGGGGTTAACCGCTAAGGCATGCAAAACATAAAGTAAGATTACGCCCCCCCCTTTTTAGCGACATACTCTTTAGAGTGACGACAACACCGCCCGGCACCACTGCATCCCGAATACCTGCACGTTCTCCGTGAGGATATTGGCGAAGATTCTCTCCAGCTCATCTGGGGGAAGCTACGCGCGCATCGGGCGTCCAACAGAGAGCGAAGGCAGCAGTAGCAGCAGCAGCAGCAGCAGCAGCAGCAGCAGCAGTTCCACCGCCGCCGGAGAGAGTGGCGGCCATTAAGCAAGGCACGGGAGGGAGTCGCGTGAAGAAGAAGGGACACGCACAGAAGAAGAGTAGCCAAAGAATCATTTGGTAGAGGATGTTCGTGATTGCCTGTCTAGTGGCGGGCGGGTGGTTTGTCTTCGCCCCCCGTCTGTTCTCCGGCGTAAGGTCTCGGTTCCTTACCTTTTGGACGCTTTAGCCGAGTCCAAACAGGCAGCAGGCATTCGATATCATGTAAACATGATCCGTGTTTTAGGTGTTCAGGCCGTGCGCATCGGCACGCAACTAATGCTTTGCATACCCTACACTCTGCCTACTGAATAGTCGTGGGTTGGCTTTGTCCCCACGTCCGCACCTATCGTTTCAATGCTTTTTCTTCGCGGGCCTGAACGGAGAACGGGTTGCTTGTAGCAGCCTTCAGGTGATGAGCAAAACAATATTTTTTCATGCCTGAGCTTTGCCAGACCGAATAAAACAATTACAGACCCCCTCTGCACTCTTGGACACGTCACCGCTAGACTTGGTACAAAACTACCGTACTAGTCGGAGAGATGGCACCGGTCGGGGGATAGCACCGGGGTGCGCAAAAAGATACAAGAACGGCAGGATTTGATTCGATTTACAATCCGGGGTCCGTGAGATTGCACCGGTGCGATCTCTGCGACCCCCAAATCCGAGATTGAGGTCCTTTTCAGCTGCCGGAGTGAGGTACATGTGCGTACCTTTTACATGCGGGGACGGTGTCAGCGGAGCGCCACTCCTGTATGTACTTTTACGTATATGCATGGTCGCGGTTCACGCGGGATGCTAATAGTTGTTTTCATCATTAATTGGTATGGAAGTCGCCAATCGTGCACTCAACCAAACACACAACGTACAAGCCGCGACCTTACGTTGTCGTCACGCCATAGCCACACTCGGATCAAACAGAAGATCACTCGCTGCATGGAAAGCTGATACGTACCAGCCGTACCAGCCTACGTTGCCGTTTCCGGTGTGCTTCCAACCAGCAACAACGGTACCTACAAGTGTGGTTATCCCTGATCATAGCTTTGTCAACTACATAGCGATGTGTCACAAGTCCGTCTACTCCTCTTGCTGCTCCCCACCCCCGACATACCGTGTGTGTGCGTGGGTATATGCGCCTACACTGGTATCAAGACTATGGTATCGGTCGGGGAGATGGAACCGGGGTGCCTTGAAAAAACTAAACGAATGGATTTAATTGCATTTCCGCACCGAGGTCGGAGAGATGGCGCCGGTGTGCGATAAAAACAGACGAACTCAAAAAAACACGATCGCACCCGGTGTCATCTCTCCGACTACAGAACGCGCCACCACTTAAGAACCGCTTATTTTGCGTGAGGCGCGACGCTTATTGGTTGCTCCAAACCGAGCACATGTTCTTATTTGCCGAGTTCTTATTTGGAGCAGGTATCCACCTACGATAATTGGGGTCCTTGCTCTTATTTCTACGCCGACTACTGTACTCCATGCACAGGACGGAGGTCAATGCGGATGAACATCAACGTGACACTTGAAAGTAGAGTGTTTGACACCAGCAAAAAACTATCGTTCAACAGGACCTCCGGATCGAACGCACTGCAGCTTCCGCGATCACTGTAAAGTAGAAGGGCAGACAGACGCGGCATCGCCGTAAGAAGAGGTATCATAGGCAACATTCAACTGCTTAATGGTCCACAAGGGTCACGTTGGGCGTGCGTGTCCTCCCCGCTCTAGTAACTCCTCCCGTTGTGACTGTAATGCTTGTGGCCGGATCTCTCCCCTGCTCTGCGATGGTAGGATCTCCCCCCTCCTCTACGGTGCCCCCCTCCAGCAAAACCCACGACCCTACCACCGCATCCGCATCTTCACTGTACTTCTCCAACGGCAGCTTCATGCTGCGTGTACTTTGGTCTAGCTCGAAATGCACACGGTAGTCGTAAAGGTGACGGGTAGCTCCTGAGACTGCCGAGTCATCAGCCCACCGAACCAACCTAGGCTCAGCCTAACTAGTACTCCACGCTGCAGTAAACGAATTATCAACAACACCGGGAGTAGCCTCTTGAAGGCGAAAACCGTCGGGAATCTGCATGCCGTGAATCTCATGGGCCGGGTCCATGGTGTCGTCTTCGTCCAGAAGACTCAGCTCGTCGTTCTGGCCGCGGGCCGTGTCTGCAGAGATCGGCATTGAATCACGCAGTAACATCACCGTCGTCAGAAAGTTAGTTTCCTCAACATGAAACATCCATGGAAGCAACAGCAGTAACAATAACAATAACAATAACAACAACAACAACAACAACAACAACAACAACAATAGCAACAGCACCAGCAACAGCAACAGCAACGGCAACAACAACGACAAAATACAAAGAGTCTGGTGACCATCCAACTTGCCGTGATCGTCTTCGTCGCTGGACCCGCCGTCCTCCATGCCCTCCCTGCCGGTGTCTCCGTCTCCCTCAAACCTCTGGTCACCCCCTCCCCCCGCACCCTCCCCAGGCTCTAGAGGTCCCTCGTCATCGCTGGAGTCCTCGGCGTCCATGAAGGTATACGGTTTGTCCAAACCCTCCAAGTTGATTCGGTCATCGCCCGAACGGCCAACAGTCATCGCCATGCCGCACTTCTCGAAAAGGCGAAACCGGTACTCCTCGCGGCTGTCGAGAATTTCCATGGCTGCCCCAACCCATTGCGTGATCAGCATACACGCAGCGTGGAACGCACCCAGCACCACGAGCACACGAAATGCCTCGCAGAGGGGGGTACACTGTGTGTGTACATCGGTCACCTCCCTCGGCACGTGCAAGAATATTTCACGGGGTGCCCCTCCCCCCCCCCCACCCCTCGAATCTGAAACTAACTGCTGTTGGGGTCACCCCCGCCACCTTATCTCGCGTTCTTATGTTGCAGCCGCCCGTGTGTTGGGCTCCGTTCTTATCTGTGTGAGCATTGGTACACTACTAAGGCGGGTTCTAGTTCTTATACGACGTCAGAACTGAGCACATGTTCTTATGGCCATGTTCTTAGTTTTTGGATTTTTTTAGGCTCAAGCTCTTAACTGTTAAGTTCTTAAGTGGTGGCGCGTTCTGTATTACGGTACAAGCCCTTACTGCCGTCTTTGCACCGCCGTAGGGTGGCTCTCTGCGAAGACAGTAAGCTACTGCTGTAGCTCTCTTCCCTCAATACTACTGCTAGTAGACCTCGCCTTGCAACTGCAGTGCACATATACTGTAGATATCACGCCCCCTAGATTTTCTCCACAGCAGAAGCTGAACGGCGACGGCTTGGCGTGAAGCCGTCTCGCCGAGAGCTTTCCGAAAAAGTGTGCTCATGCATATCCTCTTCGCCGTGGAAATTAACCGAGCTTTGAAGATCGGTACTGGGGTGTGGCATCTAGTGTGGCCTACAATACAGGGTTCTAATAAACGTCTAAACTTCAACTGGTACAGCAGTCTACCTTTGACTGCGTGTACGATGTAGGAGCGTACAGCAGCTTTATACTTGACTTTCCGTTGATCGATTAGCTTCCTGTAAAGCTCCGGTTGCGACGTGAAACAGCGCACTGGACACCAACTCACGCACTAAACTTTCACTTCAAGTATGAAAGAAGGAACGGCTGACGTCGTCTTGTACAGGCAAGAAGGAACGGCTGACGTCGTCTTGTACAGGCCAATCTCGGTACGATTGTTACTGATGTGTAGGGTACACCTTCTCCGGCGAGCTGACTCTTTTCTTGACGAGCGATGAATTTGGAACAAGAACCCCCGAACAAATCTGAGACCGCGCGTGAAAGGAGCAACGCACAGCAGTGCAGAACACCAATGGTGCTATTGTACCGGTACGTACTGGTGCACCATCGCGCACAGGCGCCAAGAGGGTCCTCCAACACGTGCATACATACAGCCCAGGAGGAGCAGATGGCTTGTTCAAGCCACCCTACCCGTTGGCACCCAGGGGGAAAGCTCACACCCACAATGACAGCAAGCATTTCCTTTCGGTATTTCTCAGCAACTATCCAACATCTGTCACACCGAACAGGGAGGGGCGACAGCAGCAGGGGCCCAGCAGCAGCACCTCCGGAAACAAACAAATTGTCGACGTGATCGGAACCAAAACTTTGCGCCCCATGCTGCAAGTTTTGGCACCGCATTGAACGAGAAACTCGCACCTTGTTCGGGCAAGACAGCCTGTCACCACTCTCGGAGGCGTCCATGATTGTTGCCGGGTACGCGTCGCACTCTTTCTTTCCTTGCTCGAGCCTGGATTACGTCTTCTTTGCTCTCGTGCACGCGATGGTTGGTCGCTGTGGCCGGACCGGATGGTTGTAAATCTAAATACGCCGCATCAGCAGTTGAGGATGCGGTGGCCCCGCTCGGAACGATTTGAGGATCGTTCTTCTGCGGTCTGATCGATGCGTTGTTGATGGAGGGTTTTTTAAGTAAACAGCATGTTGGATAAAGAATGCAACCGAGGAGAGGGGTTTGATGTTCATACCGGAGGTGATGATGGGTGGCACTGGCTGCAGCGGTGGGTCACAGATCATTGGGTGGTGGCATGCTGGTTCAACTACTTGTTGTCTTCACGTGTAAAAACTGCACGTGAAAAACTGTGCAGAAAAAAGGGCCGTCCAGTATCACTTCACTGCTATCACAACGTAGAGGTAATGTATCGTTCCTTGATTCCGGTTGTACTCTGTAGTTCGCAACCACTCGGCAGAATTGGGTGGTCTCCGTGTTGAAATACAACAGCACGCCTTGCCTCCACATGCATGCAGCATGATCTAGCATGTGTCAACCCTAAGACTAGCACCCGCCACATCTATATCCAAGGTGCACGGACCTCACATCATCCGTGGTGTTTGGGCTATAGTCAGGGTTTGATAGGGTATATTGTGTTCAGACTGGGATGAAATAAATATTTAAAGAGATTCGGTAAGTGTGTTCTTGATGTGTCAACCCTCGGCTTCGACAAAAGCCGTACGATAGCCTCAACGTGTCTCCGGGGACATGTTTTCCTTCGTTCGCTCGGTGCATTTCTTCATCACCGTTCATCCACAACACAAACCACCCGCGAACTTCCTTCCACGCACATACGCCTACTGTACATCCAACCTAAAACACAACAAGTAAAAATGTGTATAACAACACTAAGACCATGCAGGAGCAGATACATGCTTGGGCAAACAGATTACCTCTCCGACTTTCAAGCACTATTAGCTAAGGGGTTCGACACAACAATCAACTACTGTACCAACACCACAACCTTTTCTCATCCCTCTGTCTCTCCCTGTCAAACAACAACGCACATCTTCTACGGTGTAGCAGCACCAGGGTCTCTCCAATCGTCTTCCGCCGCCCCGCGTCTCCCGAAGAAGCTTCTTTCTGGCAAAACGTCAGGGCGAGACATCATCTCCTCCCCTTGACCCTGCCCTATGTCGCCTCGCACCCCTGCCCGGCCATCCATATACCGCGGAAGGCCTTGATGACTGTCACTGTCACTGAGGCTTCCGCCGGAGATACCGGAGATACCGGAGATCCCTCCAACAATGGCGCCATCACAACCACCGGGAGGATCAGAACTACGCGAAACACCACCATCATCATGGGCACGGCAAGGGAAATCCGGAGGCTGCGGTGGCCAGCTTCGCCTCTCAGCAAATGGCTCCAATATCTCCTCTGCCTCCACTTCTTCCCTCTCTTGAGCGCGAAAATCACCCCCGCCTAACGCTATTCCATGGCCACCACCGTCATCATCCCTACAGCCGCCACTCCCACCCATTCCCCCCCCTGCCGAGTCATCATCAGCACCATTCGCGCAGAACGTTGTCTCAACGCCGAACGACGCACCACCGCCGCCACCACTACTACCGCTGTACAGGCGACCGTCAAAGCTAGCCTCACCCTCACCGCTCTCGACACGCATCTCCGCCTCGTAATCTCTAGAGCCGGAGGTCGGCGGCGGCGGCGGCGGGCGCTCACCCCCCCCCCATCCCCCCGCGGAGCCCTCCCCTTCCCGCCAACCCTCCGCCCTCGCCGTAAACCCGCCGCCACCGCCGTTGTAACCGTTGGAGATGTCGAAACCGGCGTCACCGCCACCGTACCCACCGCCGTACGCGGGCTGCGAAGACCCCGCAGCGCCGGGGGAGGCGAGAGGGTCGGGTGCGTTCTCGACCGAGTAGAAGGTTCCGGGGTCGGGGTTCTTGCCCTTTGCCGCCGCAGTGAAAATTCGACCTAGTCGCATCTGAGGCGGGGGGGACGGGGGGGGGGGGGGGGGGGGGGGGGGGTCGGGCCCAAATTTTGAGGGGGCGCCCGGGGGAAAAAAAAGGGGGGGGGGCCTTTCCTGCGGGGGGGGGGAAAAAAAGGGGGCCGGGGCGGGGGTTTTTTTCCAACCTCCCAGGGGGGGGGGGGGTTTTTAAAGCTTTTCGGGGCCACCCCGGGGTTTCATTTTTTTTTGGCGCCCGCGGTCAGGGGGTCCCCCCCAATTAACGGGGTCTGAAAAAGGGGGAACACCCAAAACCTTTTTTCCCTATGGGTGAAAGAAAGGGGGGGGCCCCGGGTCCCCCCTTTTTTCAAAACCCCCTTTTTGGGGACACCCTCCCTACCTACGTACACCTCTTGGGGATACCCCCCAAAAACCCCGGGCCCCCTGCCTACACCTTTTTTTTGGT